TCTTCCTTGTGCTTTGGCTTCTCTGTGCTCCAGTGCAATTTTCAGAGTCTCTTCTGACATCCATTTTGGTCTTTTCTTCCTCTTCTGTCTTTGCAATGATACCCTTGATATCCTCCCACAACTCATCTGGTCTTCGATCATGCAGTGATAATAAATTGAGAATGTTTCAAGTTTTCTTTGGAGTCGTCTGGAGCCTGATCTGTAGGGAGTTGTGGTGCTAACCCAAAGACCATGCCTCTCTGGGGCTTTGAGTCCACCAGCAGTTTTGCAGGCGAAAATGGACAGTTTCCTTCCTTGAAGGTTTAGCTTCAGAAACTCAATGGAGGCTCAGCCAGGAGTTGGTTCTGACTCAGTGGCGTTGAGAGTGAGGGTGATACTCAGTACAGACTAATCCCGAAAGAGATGAAGGGCAAGGAAAATAAGAGTTGAGAAAGGTCGTTTTTGTAGTAATTGAGACTTGTATACATTATGTCCTAGTTTGATGTGTGCCTAAGGTCTTCACATGTGACCAATTCATTCCTAAGGTGTGCCTCTTTGCAGGGCACACTGTTGTTATTGTTAGGTGCGGCTGAATTGATTACAACTCAGAGTTACCCTTTTGGATGATGGCTCTGAACCCTGCCCTATCCCACGCATCCTCTTCATCTTTGCCACACCTGAGCCCTTTGTCACAGTCACTGTGTCAATCCATCTAGTTGAGGGTCTTCCCATTCTTTGTTGACCCTCCACTTATCTGAGCATTATGTTCTTCTTAACATCCTGTATAGACAGGATTTAAGGGACTATGCCCTGGCGATGATGGCTTTTAGATTCATTTTCTCTGACTACATCAACAGTGGTTTAAGTGACTCTGACTTTGTAGCCATTTTTCAACTAAATGGAACCAGATACCTGATTTCTTCCTTTTCTAGAAGACGCCGGTATGTTGCTATTTCTTGTTCTAGCCTCATCTTCGTGTTGAGAAGTGTCTCGTGCTCTTGAAGTTGCTTCTCAATTCCTCGCCTGACCTCCTGTAGTTCTTTCTCTAGGCCTTCAATCACAGCTTCGAGGTCTTGCAGCTGCATCTGATAATGCTGCTCACTGGCATGCAGGGAGTTCTCGAGGCCCCTCTCCTGTGGCAGACACATTTATCAGTAATTCAGTGACAAAAAAGAAAATATGTATTTTTTAAAGCTTATTTGCATTCCTTTATTTTATTCAATTCTCATCTTTCTTAAACATCTGTGATAACTGTACTTATACAAGAATTATTTTCTTTAAGCTTTTGTGCGCACCTGAATTATAAACCATACTTATATTTTATACACAAAACTGTGGCCTAGTAGTAAGAAGCTGCACCGCAATCCCAAAGTCACACAGTGCGAATACACCAGCAGCTCTGTTGGAAAAAGGAAGGACACTTTCCTCCTCTTCTCTTACATGCATCTGAAAACCTTCTGGAGGGTCAGCTATGGGTCTGTTCCAACTCGATGGTATACAACAACAACATACATAACTAGAGAGGTTAGTGTTTCCAAAGAATCCAGCAGTAATTACTGGCAAATGTATCCTCTGCGACGTGATTCACTTGATCACTCTAACTCATCAAATTTTATAAATATTGAAAATATAACTCGGACTCAATTCATTGCTGTCGAGTCAGAATCGACTCAGAGCTGACCCTCCAATGGGTTTTCAGAGGCAGGTAAATGACATGAAAGGAGATCGTCCATTTTTCTCCCTCAGAGAAGCTGATGAATTCAGACCATCTGCTTTTGGGTTGGCATCACCACTCTTTAGTCTACTGAGTATCAGAGTCGAGTAGACTGCTTACAGAAGTCACTTTTAGGACGGTGCTTAAATACTCTCTTATTAGCAGTGTTCAGTGGCAATCATAAGTGTTCCCACTGTTAATACTTAGTACACCAACAAATACTCTGATTTCTTCACTTCAACTGTTAGAGAATCCCAGGGTGAGAAGCAAGTGTTACTTCATCTTTACCAATAGCCAGTGACATCATGGCAGCGAAATTGTGGAAAAACAATACCAGCAATAGAATTCATTGAACTTCTCATCTCTCACTGTAAAGTAATACATGTCCTTACTTTCCCTCCCTGAATCAAATAACATTTGGGGGCTCAGCGGGCCAGTTCCTCTCAAAAGCATCCTCACCACGGCATGGAGAGACTCAATTTCCACTTGCAGGTGGTGCCACTGACGCCGGGCTTCCTTGAGTTCAGCTTGAGCTGCCTTTAAAGCCTCTTCATCTTTGTTCATTTTCCTGCTTATATCTTCTTCCAGCTAGAAAAAGCCAACAATGAAAAAAACAGAGAGAGTATACTTTAAAAGAAAATGAGACATTTAAAATTAGTTCTCAAAAAATCATGAAGGAATTAAATTATTTCCCCCCTCACTTTAAATTGCATGATAAATGTCTGTTCTAGTGCTTAGTTATTAATTAAGTAAATTTATTAGTACATCAGTTGCAATCTTAGCCTCAGTATTCTCAGGGACTCAAAAGGCCCTTCCAATATTGATATCTCAGGATGTGTGCCAAAATATCTCTATTTAGTGAAAATAAACTAAATGCCTGAAACTTGTGACCTCCGATTCTAGGACTTCATATATGAACATGGAGCAGATACTGCTATTTTAATGTACCTTATTGATAATTCAAAGAGTGAAGTTACTGTGAGTGTTACCTACTGCTATTGAGTTGATTCCAACTCATAGAAACTCTCTGGGGCTGCAAAGCACCTGGTGGATCTGAACCACTGACCGTTTGGTTAATAGCACGGCAGGAAATGCACTATGCCACCAGATTTCTTTCTCTAAATATTATTACAAACAAACACACACACAAAAAACCCCACAAATAAAACAGTGCTACAGAGTCTGATTCACAGTGGCTTTCCTTTGGTTTCTAAGGCTGTAAATCTTTACTGTAGAAGACTATTCATCTTTCTCCTGTGGACCTGCTGGTGGCTTCAAACCTCCACCCCATGACCAGAATGCTTCCCAAACAAAAAACCAAAATCAAACCCCAAACTAACAAACCAGGGCAGTAGAGTGTCTCAACTGGATTTATGTATTAAGAGTATTCCCTATATGTGCCACCAGGTCAACCAATGGGATCTTCTAAAGATTAAGTCCCCATGTGCATAAAATACTTTTTCCAGCAGGGTGAAAAGAAAAACCTATTGACTGGGAAAAAACCATTTGGCAATGACATCTCAGACAGGGGTCTCATAATGAAAATTTAAAGACTACTACAGGGCCTCCACAAGGCAAAGACTGATAATCCAGTCACAAAATGGATAAGAGACGTGGAAAGACTTTTCACAGAGGAAGACATTTAGAGGGCCAACAGACACATGAAGAAAAGCTCAAAATCACTGGCAGTAAGAGAGATAAAATCAAAAGCACAATGAGATACCATCTCACCCTAGTACCAATGACAAAGTTTAAGAGGAGGATAAGCAATAAATGTTGGAAGGGTGTGGAGAGTTAGGAACTCTTATATACTGTTGGTGGAATTATAAAATGGTGTAACTGCTTGGAAGGCAGTTTGGTATTTCCTCAAAACCTGAACATAGAAATTCTGTATGACCAGCTATTCCACTGCTAGGAATATACTTTGAGGAAAATAGAATTGAAACACAAACCGAGATAATTTTTTTTAAACAAATGAAGGTTTGTACACTGATGTTTACAGCAGTATTATTCACAATAACAAGAAAATGGAAGTAGCTCAAATGTCCATCAACAAATGAATGGATTGAGAAATTGTGGTACAATCACACAATAGAATACTGTGCAGTCCTACGTAACATGGGAGAGGTTAGGGACCATTATGCTCAGTGAACTAACACAGTCTCATGAGGACAAATACTATAACTGTTGTTATAAAAATAGAGGGATAACTAGTAAGATATATAAAAGTCCAAAGGGGGAAGGAGACAGGGGCAGGGAGATTTAGGGTGGGGAAAGGGAGAAATCACAGGGTCATAGAAATTGGTGAGTGGAGGGACGGGGTGAAGGAATTAGGAAAGATCCAGTGGGGGCCTGAAAAGATGCGGTGATAATGAGCATACAGCAATGGTCATTAATTTTCTAAAATAATGTATAGGAATAATTGTATGAAACACAATGTGAATGAAGGAATGTATGAAACACAATATACATCATTGAAGCCCTATGTATGTGAATTTTGTATGCAAACAAATATAAAATAGAAAAAATTATTGTTGTTATGTGCCATCGAGTCCCCTGCAACTCATAGCGACGCTATGTACAAGAGCTCTAAAAGCTCTTCTATCCTGTGCCAACCTAGCCATCTCAAATGCACTTATTCCCACCACTCCAGTCACAGAATCGATCCATCTCATCAAAGGTCTTCCTCTCCTTCGCTGTCCCTCCACTCTGCCAAACATGATGTCCCTCTCCAAGGACCAGTTCCTCCTTGCAACATGCCCAAAGTATGTCAGACGAAGCTTCAGAATCCTTGACTCCAAGGAGCAGCCCAGCTTCACCCTTTCCAGGACAAACCTGATTGTTCTCCTAGCAGTCCATGGTATGTATATTCAACACTCTTCTCCAGCACCACAGCTCAAAAGCATCAATTCTCTTTCTATCAACTCTATTCACTGTCCAACTCTCTGAGTACTCATTATAAATTTACCTTTTTAAATTGGAATTTTTAGAAGGCATGGGTAGCAGGGAAGTTTAAAATAAAATGGCATCTTTAAAAATTGTTTCTTAAATGTTCGCATTAAGTTGAGGGATTTTTATATCCAGCTTTAAATATTCTAATATTGATGTTGGAAATAAATCAAACTAGCTTTTAGCAGTATTCACAATATTTGAATCCAAGTCAGATCAATGCATTGAATTGATCTCATAGCATTCTGAAGCTAAAATTAGAATTCTTTTATGATTTTATTTAAAATTTAAAAATTAATTTTATGATACAATGAGGGTTCATTTGTGTGTGTTTTTTGTTTTTTGATTTTTTTTTTAAAGCAAACATTGGAGTCAATGAAAGTCTGTGAGCAAAATTTAGGACAAGCTACACAAAGTGGAGCAACTAGAAATGAGAATGTAGAAGACTTTGGAAATGTGAGATCATAGAGGTGCCATTAACTAGATTTTTTTTAAAGTGCGGAACTTTCAATTTAACTTGTGCTATAGCTAGGTTCCAAAGGTAGACACCGATGAACCACATCTCTCAGTAGTCATAGCCATGTGTAGTCCTGTCCACTTTGAATCTGGGATGACCTGTGTCTTTCTTTAATTCACATAATTTGGCAGGAATGATGCCAGGCCAGCTGCAGGTGTAAACCTTGCCAGGCCCTGGCAACTCCCACTTCTGTGCTTTGAGAACCCAGGGCCACCATGGAAGAAAACTGGATACCCTGCTAGAGAGATCAATGTAGAGGCCATAAGGAGAAAGAAATAGGCCTAGTTGTCCAGTAAGCTCCTGCCAGACACAAGAGTGAGCTACTGGGGTAATTCTAGACCAGTTGTGCCCCCTGATAACTGCTGCCCCGGGCACCATTGTGTGTAGCTGAAGAATCACCCTACAGAGCCCACCCACCTCACAGTCTCAAGAGAGAGCATACAATGGTGATGTTCTAGCCTATTAAGTTGGAGGTGGGAGGGAAGCTGTTACACAAGCTATTGTTGTTTGCATCTAGTCCTTGAGTTGTAGCTGACCCTCCAGCAGGTTTTCAGAGGCAGTTAGTTACACAGGAGGAGACTGTCCATCCTTCTGTGCTTTTTAGCACTAGGCAACTTATATTATGTTGTTGTTGTTATGTGCCATCGAGTCGTTTCCGACTCATAGTGACCCTATGCACAACAGCTCTAAACCCTGCTCTATCCTGCGCCAACCGCACTGCCTCTGACACACCCATCCCGATTACCCCAGTCACCGAATCAAT